AAATTTGAGTTTCCACATTGTGGTGTCTGTTTGTTTATTTGTCCCTTTTTTTGGACTAACTGCTGTGTGTTGCTATTTATTCTAGCAATATTTGTAGCTAAAAAAATATACAAAAAATAATAATATAAGGCAGAAAAGGATAAAATGCAAAGATAGTGGCCTGGAAATCTTCAGCCAAATATGATCACTGCTGGTTTCCCAGATCCCCAAGCTGATAACTGATCTAACTGCAGTCTAAATAAACACCTTTCCTGATTTTATTCACGAGAAATCACTCTTATTGTTAGTGCACAAATAAAAGCAGTATGTGATAACACACATATACACACACACTGGTCATTCATCCACACTTCCTCTCTCTCCCTCTCTCTCTCTCTCTCTCTCTCTCTCTCTCTCTCTCTCTCTCTCTCTCAGCCCCTTTCACTCCCCTCTTCTTCATTAACTCACTCGACCACTAAATCACTCCAACGCTGCCAGTCCACATTCAGACGAGGACAAACAAACAGAGCTTCTCTCAGAGCTGCTCAGTTCTGTCTTCCAAGAAAAGAATAAGAAATAAAGTGCATGCAGACAGGTGTGGTGTAAGCGAGTATTACATCGGCTCTGAAGCAGTAGAAGCATCTCAGTCCGGGTGTGAATCACTGCTCCATTTGAAGAAATCATTACATTTCCATCAATCAGTGATCTGAAAGAAGTCTCCATTCTAACTTTAAAGGGAGGTTGTAGTTAATAACATGAAGTGGTGGCAGTCTGTGAAGACTCTATTAAGTGATGTGATAAAAAAAAAATGGGCATGAGGTGACTGTGATAACAGGGTGAGATCATTTAAACTGCACAACCAGCGTGCAAATTAGACTGAGCAGAATATGGGAGGCAAAAGTGAAGATGTACCATAAAAGTGCAAAATGACCAAAAGAAAACAAGTGAACCACAAACAGCAAAGAGAGAGATATGAGGGGGGGAAAAAGAAAAATCTGTTACGTGGCACTTACACAGTACTTCATTTAACTCCATGTGTTGTCTATTACCTCCTGCTTCTTTGTTTCTGCCCTACTTCCAGCACACATACCCGCCGTGCCAACAACATGCAGCCAAATTAATAGGAAATACACACACACTCACACACAAACAGAGCGCAGTAAGTGCCAGCATCCTTGCTCCAAACTGGCATGAGTACAACACACTGTTGCTTATCCAGTCGGAGCTTCCACCGGAGGCTATTTTCCAATCAAATCAAAAGAAGGGCTTAGCAGGTAGGCCCGTGCCTTTGTCTGCAGAGCTCCATGGAGGAAACAGACACTATGAGAATGTCCTCAGTGCTTATTAGTTCCTTTAATCCAGTGTTGGGCAGTCACTGTAATCCGCTCGCATGGATAACATAGTTCTATTACAAAATCAAAGTCACTCATCAGGCGGGGAGATTATTATCAAATGACTTGTAAAAAAGTATTACAACAGAGCGTGTTCCAGAGAGAGCGATGGCTCAACACAAAGCGGCACATTACATGTCTGGCAAAAAAAGGGAGGCAAGTGAATTTTTTTGAGTGAAAACATTTCAAATCTGTGGCGGTTTAAGCGTACAAAAACAAAAGCATTAAAAAGTCTGCCCAAAATGGCAAGCAGAGGTTCTCATTACAAACCCACATGATATGAAACATTCCCTCAATAGAACGCATTATGTCCGCATGTCTCAATTACAGCCTGATTTCCTCCCTAAAGAAGCATGCAAACGCACATGAAAACATGCGAGGGAACTGATGCTCGTGTGTTGTTTCCACAGATCATAAAAAAGATCCATACACAAAGAAAATTCTTGTTTTTAAGTGAAGTAGTTTTTGCAGTCTGAGAACGACAAAAAGATTAGCATGACTCTTCTATTTCCCCTAAACAGAACCTGCTGTGTGTGTGTGTGTCTGTGTGCGTGTGTCCGTCCGTGTGTCTGTGTGTGTGTGTGCGTGTCCGTCCGTCCGTGTGTGTGTGTGTGTGTGTGTGTGTGTGTGTGTGTGTGTGTGTGTGCATATGCACGAGTGTGTTTGGGCTTGGCCGGCCAGCAGAGCTCTCTCAGGTTACACACACACAGGAAGGCTCAGAGCAATAACAAAGGCCTTTCAAAGGAACCCTCAGCAGGTTAAGATAAAATGTTTTCGCTCAAACTGATAAAAAGCATCTGCAGCTTAAATGAACAGGCCCTGGTATCAGTGGCATGGCATGCACCGGCAGATCAGCAGGGACTGATCTAAACAGACACTGGGCAGTCTCTCTTTTTGCACACGAGAGCTACAAGTGTGTGTTTCAGCTCTGGGTGCATCCACTTTGGCAATGACAGACTCACCTGTGAGGTTTAGTTCCAAGATAGAGTCTTTGTAATACAGATCCTGGTATAAGTATCCATTGCAGTATCTGTATCAGCCTCCGATACAGCCTAAAATGCTCTATCAGGTATCAACCATTTATTGTTGTTTATGTTGATGATGATGATCAAATAAAACAAAACAAAAAAATCTGTTTCTGTAAAGCCTGTGCATTTCCTCTATGCACTGCCTGTCAGCCCCTCTGTCCAATCATACCCTTACTTGTGTTGTTTCCTCCTGTCAGGTTCCTATCTTGTGTTTTTGCTTAATCTTGGATGTATAGCTTTGGACAAAAACAAAATTGTAAACGTGACTGTACTGGCAATTCATAAGCCCCTTTTAAAAGTCATCTGGTGAATTATTATGGCAATATATCAATTAACTACAGTGCAGTGCAAGCAGAAAGCTTAATATTAGTCATAGATGGATAAATGTTAGCGACATCAGACTGCATAAAACATAGGCGTAGTCTCAGGGACGTCACCAATTTGGTTTCTGAAGCATAGTTCTGAAGTTGCTGACGAAGTTAAATAGTATTAGCCAAAAAGGTGGAGCTTAGGCTGGTTATTCAAACCAAAACCTCCTTTTCAATCAGGATGTAAGCATGTTTCTTTCTGATGTCTAAATGGTCATTTTTAACACGGGTGTTAATAGAACTTCCAGGGCTTTTGCAGCCAGCCTCAAGTGGACAATTGAGCTGTGCTCCCCCGGCTGGCTCCACTGACCTGTAACACCTCTGTTAGATAGTACAAAGGTGGGATCACTTTCTTTTCCCTCCATATGCACTTCCACATTAGCTTCTTTTTTTTTTCCACCACCTAAGGTTGCTGCTTTGTTGACAATCAGGGTTTTTTCCCCCCAAATATATGCAATTAGTCTTATCCTGCAACTAGTATCATGTAATACTGAAATCTAGCTATAGGAATCTCTGCGATAAAACGGTATTGTTCCAGCACTAATGTTCTACCCTGCAAATGTTGTCCACAGTGAGAATCAGAAAAAGGCTCTCAAGACTCTTCACACAAGCCCACTTGTCCTGAGAAGCGCCACTTATTTTCTCATCCTCTGAAAGAAGTTTTCCTTGTAGTATAAGTTTAGCAAATCCTCCACCTTAGACACCTGTAACTCATGCAATACCTTTGTGTGTGGCTGTCTTTGCATGCTACTTTTCTTCTCTATAAAGCATGCATACTGACAAAAAACACATTCTTATTTACAGAGACAATCCAGAGGGAGAGAAACCAATGCAGGAATGTCTGTGTGTGTGTGTGTGTGTGTGTGTGTGTGTGTGTGTGTGTGTGTGTGTGCGTGTGCGTGTGCGCGTGTGCGTGTGTGTTTGTGGGGGTTATATTTATGCTTGATCACGCTAACAGGGTATGGGATTCCTTAACCAAGTTTAATCGTGACTTTTATTTCATAAACTGATGACAGTTTAAATGAATTGCAAGCCTACATTCCACAAGTGAACTCAATGTGAAATTGGAAACAATCATGTGTTTTTGAAGCATGGAGGCCTTTAGTATGAGGCTGTGTAACCAGAAGAAACAAACGGCAACAATGGTAAATGTGCAACAATGAACAACTTTAAAAGAGAGACAAAGTTAATGAATTTGTCTAATACTCGCCAACAATTCTTAAAGCTCTGATAAAAACAAGTCACTGACACTCCTATAACTATATTTTTGAGATGTACAAACATGGCTCAGATGTGAAATGTACAGTGGGGGAAGATACGTGCCACACAAGAAAAACTGTGAAATGTAGAAAGGAGGTTACTCTTCCTTCTTTGAAATTAAAATGACCTACAATGTTGTGTATTTTTGTAAAATATCATAAAAGTCCATGAGCTTCAAAACATAAAATAGGCCACATTTTGATGAATGATGTGATATTCTAAAAACCCTCTAATGTCTATGTTGATTAGAAAATAGCCCTAAGCAGACTGCAATTCCGCCACAGTGCCGTAACAAAGCTCAACTGTCATTACCGCCTTAAAACATTCACATTGCAATATCCGCAGCAGACTAATATTGGAGTCCAGTTTGTGAGTTCACATTGCATTAGTGCGTTGCGGGAGCGCGAGACAGGATGGCAAAGCAGGATCTGTGCATACACACACGGTCAGACATGGACATACACACAGCGCTGCGCTCTCCCCCATGATCCCGTCTTGCTTCTGTCACTACCACTGAAGACAAAGGTGAGAAGATCACTTAGTTATTACGCCTAGGCGACATTCAGATTGAAGGTGAAACTTCACAGGGGCGTAAATGTCGCAGCTTTAAACGGCAGTTCGAATAAGGCTAATGAGACGTATCAGGATCTGTCGGAAAATGTGACTGAGCGGTAACATTCTACATCTGTTTAACAATAGCTCACCAAGTAATCAGGAGATAATATTTACCCAAGATGAATCAGTAAGTCATTTTTGTAACACTTTGATGGTATCTACAATGGGCAGCTTGGGATATCCCACCCAACACTCTAGTTTTCACTCCTTAAATCCTCTTCACCTCAGCTTTTCTGTAGCAATGCTTTAGTATTTACAAATCTCAGCAATGAATATATTGAATTTTTCTTTCAATATGTACCGATACAAATTTTTCTCGATCTACTGACAGACACCCTATTAGATATAAACTGTCTCACCTGGAAGCCCTGGATGTGAGCCAGGTAGTCCAGCTGCTGTGCAGGCTGCACTGAGACGCTGCAGGCCAAGCTCGGGTTCTTCCCCTTCATGGACAGGGAGGCGTCAGCCGTGGGTGACTGACCGTTGAGCAGCAGCTCCCTCGCCATGGTGGCCGTCTGACTGGGTGAGGAGGCTGAGCCGCCATAGTATGGAGGATGTCCTGGGGGCAGCGGGGCAGAGCATGGCCCGATGTCTTTGGATGTTATATAGTTGACTGATCCTCCGTTGTTGTTGTTGTTGCCGCCCCCGGGGCCCAGAGCGGTGCCCCCCTGCTTTCTGCTGGCCTCCATCTCCTGGTAGACGTCAGGGCTGAGGTGGAGCAGACCCTTTTGGGCTTGAAGGGTCATGGAAGAGAGGGAAGGGGAAAAAAAAAGGAACAGAATAAGGTTATGACAAGTAAATAAACAGAAAAAAAGAATGGCCATAAATAGAGTGAGAAAGAAGAATGGATGGGGTCAAACGGATTATAAAGAAGGACAGTGACAAAAGTTGAAGATTCAGGGAGAGGGAAGAAGAACAATTGATTTATTTTGGATCTCATTATTAACCATAGAAATCATTTGCACACATATTTCCCTGTCATGTACTACCATACAATGCCAGGGTGTGTTTGTGCATGTGGGTGTCTGACTGTGTCCATTTGTGAGTGTACAAGCTTGGCTTGCACAATGGCATTGCATCACCAAATATAGATGGCAGTTTCATGTGGTTTGGAGCTTCAGAGCACTATCAAACCGTCTGCTGGGAAACACACACACACACACACACACACACACACACACACACACACACACACACACACATTCTCTTTCTTTTTCATCCTCAAACACAAACACAGAGACAAACGGAGCATCCTACAATATCAACAGAGGTGCAATGACTTCATATTTGATGAGAAACAGCACTGTCAGCTGAAAAGCATGCTCAGCTTTTAAAGTCTGTTCAAGTGGAGAACAAACTGATCTCTGGAACAAATTCGGCCTCAGATCAAAGTTCTTTGGCAAATTTTTTGGTGGCTCCAAGAAACATCCCGGGTGATTTGGTTCGGATAGCCTGAAGCACATTTGACCAGCTTTTCTTTGGGTCCAGATTATTCACTGGTTCAAGCCAGCTGAGCACGACAGCGCTCCAAGACGTTGTTCCAATCCAGACCACTTGGACGGATCTCGCTTGTTTGTATTGGCTTCCTTCTCTCTGACATCACTACCTTAGAAATGGTGGTGACAGGTGGACACAAGAAACACTGACAGGTTGAAGTTAAATTCTTTCATGACTTTTGTGCAGTTGGCGAAAGTAAGCTGAAGGAATAAAAAAAGATGTGAGAGATGTGAAGGATTAAAGGGAAGGATGAGCTGGGAGCCGGTTCAGATGGAAGAGGAGGTGGGGATGAGTGGATGTTAAAACCATGAGAGCGTCCGAAGCCTAGCCAAGGTCACCAGAGACAGGAAGACCAGCTGTGTGTGTGTGTGTGTGTGGGGTGCATACATGTGTGTGTGTGCTTGTTTGTGTGTGCGCACGGACCAACAGCTGGGAGAAAGTGCTGGAGTGAGCCCATGACAGACAGGCCCCTTCCTGTTTGAGTTAACATTACCATCACACTTAGATACACACTTGCAAAGACAGGAACTTTAGCGCTAACTCTTGTCTAAAGTTTCTGGGAACCTGCAGACAGTATTTCCTCATTGTGAACAATGAAGTTTGCGTTCTTTTCCAGAGAAGAAGAAAAGCAAGCAATGAAATCCAGCTCTTATTACTCATACTACAACAAACAGCCCCATGCCAGCAATGACACAACTGCTAGGATTTCTTCCCCCCGCCACCCCCACCCCCCTCCCCCCCTCCCAATCATAATGACAACTTTAATTTGAATTTACGCAAGTAGAAATCGCAGGCCTGTGAATTCTGTATGTAAAACAGAAAATCAAAGGTGTTAGCCAACATGACATCAGCTGTAGTGGTGGTGTTGATGGGGCTTGGAAGGGGCAGTGGATGTGGTCTGTGCGAGCGCTTGTCTTTGTGTGTGGGCGTTCCTGTGAGGATGTTTGCATGTTTGCATGAGATTGAGAGCTTGAAGCTGCTGTCAACTGATGGAGAGCGAGAGCGTGACAGCAAGAAAGAGACAAAGGGAAGTGAGAGAGAGAGAGAGAGAGAGAGAGAGAGAGAGTGAGAGTGAATGAGTAAGAGCGATGGAGTGTGATTGTGAAACCGTGGACATTAAGTGGGAGCAAGTCAGGAAAGGAAGAGTGCAGAGGCTGAGAAGTGGGGAATGAAAGAGTAAGGGAGTGTGTGTTTGTGGTGCTGGTTCCAGGCAGTTTTTTTTTTTTTTTTTTTTTTTTTTTCAGAGGGGTCCCACCCAGACTCGGCGTCCGGTGGGCCAGGGGAGCGCTGGAGGGAAGCCAGGGCCAAGCATGAGACTGATCGAAAACAGATAGGGCCCGAGCCCGCTGCTATAAATCACCACGGTGGAGCAAGACCCTCACATAGTTCACACATGCACACAGACAACTCACAGACACACATTCACACACACACAAATATGCACAGCAGGAAATGAAATGTGGCAACTCGAGTGAAAAGCCCTACTGCAATGCCCATGGGAATAGAAAGGAGAAAAATCACTCTCTGCTTGCTTCTTGCTTTCTTACACTCCCTTCCTGTTTCTAAGGCCCCCCCCCCGTTTGTTGTAGCATCCCACCACCATGCACACACACTCACACACATGCAAGTGGTTGAGGGATGGTGTGCGTTTCATTTGGAGGAGTAAGAACAAAGGGCAAGAGGAATAAGCCTTTAACAGATTTACCTATTTTCTCCCACTGGCCTTACATAATGCAGGAATGCTCTCTGTTAGATCACAGCTGGCCAATGAAACCTCTGTAGACAACAGTTTGTATGTGTTTGTATGGGACCATATTTATGGGCTGTGATTTGTCAATAATCACTCTGCAACTTAATCATTCTTTACTTTTCAGTAGTTATCAGCAAAGTCAGCTATGCACAAAGGATAACAGACAATAGTAAAATGAATGAATAATGAATGCATGCAATTACCCAAATTTAGAATGATATTGTTGACTGTCTTCTTAATAAAACAATGTCACGCTTGTTTATAAGCACTGTTAATAGATCATAGATGAATCATAAAATCTGGTTTCCAGACTCCAAGATGGCCCATTGGATATAAATAAAAATAAAAGGGGGCGCCGGTAGCCTAGTGATTAGTGTGTGTTCTCTTCTCTGTAGTCCTCCAAGCAGGCAGCCCTTTCCCACGTCATTCCCCATTCTCTCTCTCTCTCTCCCTGATTTCCGATTATATCCAATTTTCGGTCTCCACAATAAAGGCACAAAAAGCCCCCAAATAAATCTTGAAATAATGTTGTTTTAATTCTGAAAAATTCTGAATTTATGCGGCTGACTGTCCACACCCAACACAAGCTCCAACACATGTTAATGCAACAGGTACACATGTTGCTCTTCTTCTTTTGTATTTCTGGAAAAGCAGCTGATCTTAGTGAGTTTTTTTTTTTGCAATGATATACGAGTCACTTTGAAGCATCTGTGTTATTAAAATAAACCTGCTGCTACTATACTTTAAGTTAAAGTGTCTGCCTAGTCAACAAGGACTGGATGGGTTGTGTCTTTTATGAGAAAATGAAGAGGGGTTTAAAGACTTAAAGCTCCTGTGAGAAGTAAAAAGACCATAAGAATGAATGTTTATTATTTCTATATGATTATTTTATACCCCTGTCACCTCTGCTACGGGGAAGGTGTTGAAAGAGATGATTAACGGCATACTGCTATAACAGACATTTTTTTATTTTTAAAGTTTCCACGCCAAAGCTTCATTGTGAGTTGCACATCAGACATTTAAAATAGAGGAAGGAATGTCAAATCTGTTGCTTTCAAACCACAGCCACATCATCTGAATGTTGACCTTGTTCGCTTTGCTTTTGCTTGTACTGGAAAATATTTATGTTTAAAACACCACCCCCCCCCCAAATATAGGTGCAGAGAATGTTATGGAGAGGAACTGGTTTCACTGGCTTAGACATTAAAGCCATATTTAATCAGGCCACAGTATGATATTAAAGAGATGCAGCAGTGCAAGGCAGAGGCTATGTAATGCATTCTTGTAGAAGTAGTTCTGGGAGCACTAGAACAAAACTTACTTGGTTTATATCAAATCCATTACAGGCATAAGCACATTACTGTTTTGAGTTGACTACATTTTAAGTATACACAAATTAAACTTACATAATAAATATGAATAAGCCTAAGGATGGTCAGAAGTATGTATCAGTATGTTCTGATGCATCTTTAACCACCCAACACTTAATCCACAGAGCACTGAGAGTACAATTTAAAAACAGGCAACAGGTGGAGATTTCAAACCACAAGAATGTCAGCTGGTATTGACTAGAAATGTGTCATTCCTGTAAAATGTTTATTTACTACCGAAGTGAAACTAATCTCTGCAAAAACTCCAGTTATTTAAACACTTGTAAAGTCTGTTAGAACATCCCCAAGAAGAAGAAGTAGCTGGATCGGAGCTTTGATTGCATGAAAAATAAATGAAGACAAATAATTCCTTGCCATGTGTTTCTCCTCTCAAGCTTACTCTTACAGGGTGCAGTTCTGCACACTGATTCAGTTATTTTCACTTCTACTCAATAAAAAGCACAATCCATCAAAAACAACTGACAAACTAGAAACATCTTCCATTCAGCAACCATAGACACAAACAGAAAACTGAGAGCAGCTGTGTCTGTTTGAATGGGTTGTAAATGGTGTTTATGCAATAAAGATTATTTAGACATTAGCATCGTGTGAGTGTTGTGCGGTTTGGGCAACTTTAAAGGGGTAATTAGCCAACAGTTGAGCTTCGTGCTGAGTGTGAGATGAACTATGAATGGGAGTGGCGCGGGACCAAAGACAAACTACGGGCCAACAATAGGGGGAAAAAAATGACCAAATAAGGAAGACTTCGTTTCCCAGGGGGCTCTGCTCTAGAGGTATTGGGCAATGCCTGGAGCACAGGCTACCATAGAAACCGCAAGCAACAAAATAGCCGACCCAAGTGAGCAAGCACTTATCTATAAACAGAATTTAGAAGATCTATCTTTCTGGAAATTGGAGTAAAACGCAAACAAGGTGTATAAATGTTTTTTGTCAACTTTCTTCTGGATTCTGTGTTTAGATTATTGACCAGCATTGAGCAAACTAAATACGTCAGAGTGATTAGTCCTACCAGGCTGCTTGATATTTTACACTTTTAAACACTGACAGCTGAACCTTCACATACATTCTCCTCTCCTGACTGAAGCTGGATGCCTCATGTAAGAGGACTGCAGCTCTGCCAAAAGCCCCCATTAGAGGCGAGTGACAACAGCACATTTGAATCTAATAAGGCAATCTGTTTGTTTTCCACTCTGTTGCTCCACATTGCAGTGTGTTCATTCGTCCCCTAAACTGCTCTTTCTCAAGCTGCTGGCATTTACTTGAGCTGGCATCCCGCATGAAGCCGCCTGTGTCCTTTCATTCAGCTGGGACATCACAACAGGCCAAACTCAGATATTACAATGCACATAAATCTGTGTAAGCAACAACATGACTTTAGACTCTTGATATATAACTTTATGCACCTGTAATACATATTAACTTACTGAACTTTATTCGAAATAAATGGAAAAATAACAATGCTGCCAGACTGCGCGGATCAAGACACTGAAAATAGAACATGCAGTCTTGAAATAGCGTTTGACTTTTGTGAGAGGAAAGATTTTTTATTTTGATTACAGAGAAGACAGCCAACTTAACTGCAGATAGAGCTGATGCAGACCAGCTGTTTCCGACTAAATTGCATCCTTATGCTTTTAGTGAAGAGTCCAAACACTGTTGTGAATGAAATATCCCTTAAGGACATCACATTCCCACGTAAATTTGACATAAATCCTGTCATGAGACAATTCAGTGTTTGTCTACAGACAAAAATGTCCATTAGAAGAGAATTCTGTCCAGATGAGATGATGAGTATGGAGGCTGTCTTTTCAATGTCGCTTCATCTGTCTCAAAATGTGTTTCATCTTTGACAGAGACTGTCAAACCACTATTTGTTGAATTAACAGGTTGGTTATTGTGTGATGCAGAAGGCAGGGCTATCTTGTATGAAATAGCAGATCTAGACCTGTTAAACTATCAGTATGTGTATCTAGCATATGAGAGTTTACAGCCCCTCTAGCAACTTTATCAGACTGTACTAAGATGGGATGCTGCTTTAAGCTAACCCAGACATTACTACAATCTCAAAATGACAAGGCTCATGTACTGATGTGAACCATGTTTAAGAAAGGCATCCTACTATTGGGGCTTTCACACTTGCAGAAATCTACTGAAAAACTACGGATATTTCCAGGAGACAGATGTAAACACCCAGACCCCTAGCAAGTCTGAGTGAGCTGATGTGAGAATGCAGCAAAGGGATTTCACCTCGAGCCAATGGGAGGGAGGAGTGATGTTTATACACTGTGACTGCTGCACGGTGCGTAGAGTGTATGCATGCAACCGCTACGATCTCAGTGCATGTAATTGAACGGCTAAATTATGTTTTCTGTTCATCAGGATGTTGTTCTCCGCTCTTTTGTTGATGGTGTGATTCTGTTGAACAACACGTAGCATTTATATAAAAGGAAATATTGTCATTATAGCATTGTATGAACACAGAGTCCCATTTCATAGAATTACAAAGAAGTACAAAAAAAAGACATCGGTTTCAGACATGGCTAACGGCTAAATGTTTTTTTGTTTGTTTGTTTGTTTTTTATCAAACAGTGGCATCAGTATCTGCCCTGATTTTTAAAAATCTGTGCCACCCTATGCCAAAGTTGATTCCCGTCCTGAAAGGAACATGAATATTTTGTGTACCCTAGTCACATCAGTTTCACTAAAACACAAAACGTCAGCGTTATTGTGGTGCAAGGGGGAAGTCAGAGGATCACCAAAATCAAGAAGTTTGTAGGATATCTTCACCTGCACTCAACTGGTGAGCCAAAAGAAAAACAGACAGAACTATTTTAAATGATGTTCAGAACTGCCTCATAACTCGTGACACCACGGGGAAAGACTCCAACCCTCATTAACAGAGACAAACAGTGTTCATGTGCTAATCAAAAGACAAAGAAATAACAGAAATGCAGAGTCAAGAAGCGTAAGTAGTACTTCATACTATGACAGTCCTGTTAATGCGTGAATGCCAGCTCCTTTTGTGGTGGTGTTTTTGACAATGATTAAATTGCTTTAAAGTTCCAGTAGTTTTTCATGACCTCATTATCTCATATTGTCTACAGCTGACATGTGGAGCAGACGCAAATCTAGCCAACATGTATTTTCCTCATATGCTCATATCTTATCATCATATATTCTGCCTCACCAGAATGTTTCTCTGTGTGTAGGATTACGGCTGTGTGCGTGAATCAGGGCTGAAATGTGCTTGTGTGTTAATCCTGAGTGAAAGGCTATGGTGTTTGTTTTTTTTTTTTTGCACAGGAAGGCAGTGGAGGGACTCCCCGGTGGGCCCCAGTGTGCCGGCCCTGTAAGCCTGAGTGAATGAGCCTGAATTCGCAGGCTCCCCACGAGGACGCACGGCCGATTAAGCTGACAGTCAGAAGCCCATTGACCAGTCACAGAGATTAAACGCTGGGCCGTCTCGGCGGCTAAAACCACCTGCGGGACGAAAGGCGAGAGAGAGAAAGGAGGAGGAGGAAAAAGGAGAGAGACAGAGGGAGACGTGCGGATACTCACTGTTACTCGTCGCTTCGGTAAATGACGCCTTTTGTCCGTTCCAGCCTTTGTTGTCTATCTGTAGTGATGCAGAGAAGGGGACAAGGAGGGGGAGGTAAGAGAGATGTAGAGTCTTGAACAGACAGTTTCTTCACGCATGTCAGACGAGTTCCTTCCTACTGTTCTGGCCACAAAGAAACGAGTGCTCGCAGGAGGGGATGCTCAAGGAGCCTAGTGTCCGTCTATCTACGCCAGATACCTAATTAGGGGGGTTGTCAGTGTTTAGTAGTCACTTTAAAAAAGCGTCCCATTCAGTGTGTTCCTTCTGCTGTGGTATGCGTGTCTGCCTGCATAAACACACACAGCCGCACACACGTATGTGTGTGAGGCTGAGGAACAAATCATTTCTGATGTGTGTGACAGCTGAGGAGATGACATGGCGGTACAGCCTGTCTTCAGTGTCTTCACACGTTAGCACAGATTACCCACAATCCCACGGTGGGAATGTAGACCAACAGAGCTCCCAAACAGAAAGAGAGGAATCTAAAAGAGAGACAACCCACCCTACAAAAACAGGAGTTTGGCAAATAATTGCATGGAAGCCTGGGTTGTCTGAGGACCTGAACAGAAGTAGGACACCCAAAAAACATCGTTTAGAGAAGTTTTTTCGGTTCCGTCAGTGTAGTGGAGAGCCTCCAATCAGCCGATTTCAGCCTTGATTGAAACGCAAGAAGGTCTCATCTGTTGCCAGAAATTAGCTTAAAAAGTAAAACTGCTTATTACAAGAACACCACACCGATCGTTAATCTGAAACATTAGAACCGGAATCAATTGTGAAATGTTTAACATTGCCTCGTCGACACATGTAGCTGGAGCTTTGTCAGAGTGTAGAGGGTTTCATAAAGACACGTGTTGAAGGAAATCTACCAGAAGTAACCAGAGTGTATAAATATATAAGATGAAAATGAAAGGAAATACTGAGTGAAAACTGGGCTGTGTTTATTTTTTAAGAAGAAAAAAAATCTCCTCAGTGATTCTGATAAGAGCAAAGTGCCATCCTTTAGCTCTATGTTATGGACTTAAAGATATATGCAGCAGCAGCATATCTAACTAATGAGCTGTCCGGGGAGCGATGAATATTCTACACGGAGCCTTGTTATGTAACATGGTCTCGATCTGCATCTGCTCCCTTGAGCTTGAAAAACCACTGAGGTGAATAAAGATGATGGAGATCAATGGATGCTTGCAAAACACATTCGGTTCAGAGGAGCTGAACAGGTTGCATAAGAGGTCGGCGGCACGCGGACCCGTGATGAATGCGAAAAAATTGACGGACCTATCAGCTTTTGTTGAATTCTGCACAGTGTGTGAGAGATGAGATAGTGTATGGACTAAATGGGAGTGGTGCAGAGATTTATGTAATCTTTCAGCACACAGCTGTACAGGTGCTGCCCTGTGAACAAGGATGGAATACAAAATACAAGACGTGCTGTACACACACCAGTGAGTGAATGTGTTCCTCTATTTGTAGGAAATGCACACTCAAAAACACAATCAATTTAGGTGCTCAATCATTTGACCAAACAATGAATGCATGTTTGTTATAATTGTGAGCAGCATGCAAAATTCAAAACCATGTTTTATGTCTGCTTCTCAACTGCAGACAGATGTAAAAAAGGTTTAAAAAATGTTGTAAGTGTGCTACATTTAGAAATCTTCACCACCTTTCAGTCTAACAGAAGTTTGTGAATCTAGTCTCAACAAATACTAAAACCCCTCAGAGTCAGAGTTGCATTGATAATGATCGGAGCAGCGATTAGTGTTTTTGTTTTTATCATTCATCTGAAGGTAATTATATCAGAATATTTCATTGATTGAGGTATTTTTATACACTGTGTAACATTTGTTTGTGGCAGTTATTTTTATATCCATTTTGTCATTGTCTTACTTACACTGCATACTGTTTTTTTTTCCCTATTAAAACTGACTTCATCCATTTAAACTGTTGTAATCGCTTAGCACTACACGACTCAGGGAGAAGGCTGACAATAACAGTCCAATAACTAACTCATATTCAGTTTAATATCAAAGCAAATGTAGACAACAGGAAAATATTACTTGATAAAGTTGTTTCGCTTAAAAATGTTTAAAAAAACGTTTTTTCCCAACTTCTTAACCACAGCTGTCTTCAAAGAGCATATAGACCTTTTTGGTATAAATCAGTGTGGTACACTTCTTTTTGACAAAGACTCGACTGTGGTGGAACTGTCGGCTATTTTAATACTCTTTTCTGGTTTGGAGTAAGTGCACATTTTTGGAGAAGTAGTTGTACCTCAGTATGACGTGGATATAAATACACTGCTTTGGAAGTGATAACGAGATGATCTGAAGAAGATAGATAACTTGTTTTTCACAGAGTCTGACCTTTACTGTAGGTTCAAACTGTTTCAGAAAACGATGACTTCTTACGCTTAAGCATAATCTGGCATTAAATGAATCATCAAAGAGGGGGACGAGTATACAAACTGGCGTTGAAATATATAAGTTGGTGTAAGCATCAGATGGAAAGTGGAGTTTGTACCTCGGTGGGGGACTGGGGGATTGTGGAGGCCTTGTATCCCAGCTGCAGGAGCATCGCCTCGGCTGCGTTCCGCTTTGCCACCTTCTTGTTGGGTCCTGTTCCCGTTGCGACTTCGTTATTCACCTTCACCTGCGCATACAACAGTAGTTTCAGTTGATGTTGACATGCTGAATACAAGCACACATCCCCACAAATTTCCTCGATCTGTCGCACTCTCTAAACTTCCAGTGGAGACCCGTTTGTATGTCTTGCCGGGTCGAGTCAGCCATGCAAACCTCATTTTGAACAAAAAGCCTCCATGTGAAGTGTTTGTTTTTCAGTGAGCCCAAACCATTCCATCTCTCTACACAGAGTGTAAGCAGATATTTCCTAGTGAATATCAAACGTGGTTATGTTATGCAAACAGACAATTACACTCTATAAATAATGTTCTGGGAGCCTGAGCCTCTGTGAACACTGGGTGCACTAACTCAAAGTGGTCTGACATGTTCTGTAAGTGCCTGCTTGAATGCATCAAGTAGTCCATACACTGAGAAGGAAAGCCTCCATAAATTAACTAAATAACAACAATGCAGTTACTCTTTTAGTATGTTTCAAAAGACTGTCCCCCATGCAAAGACATGTCAAACAAAGCAGAGTGCTTTCTTCTTTAACTAGCGTGTTCACAATAATGTGAATACAGAGACTCGTATGAGAGCTGAAGAGAAACAATGTAGTAAGTTTAGAAGAGTGAGGGGACTGAACAAAGAGAACACACTGACTCACAGGGCCTAATAATGTGCGTGTCCAAGGGATATGGAGAAGAAGTCTAAAGCCACATGCTAAGTGAAGCCGTGTTCTTCTTATGAAAGAAGAGGATTATAGAAAGAGAGACGAGAACAAGAGTTTTTACTAAGAGAGACAGACACAGAAAGACTTATACCCCAAGTGCAACATCTAAAAACGTCTTCCTGAATGTCTCCATCTTTACAGGGTGAGCTGCACGTGTGAACGCAAAGCACAAAATTCCCGCCAGTCTCCTGTCAAATTTCTGCGAGAAGTCCGGGTGAGCGACCCCTTTTCGAGTGGGCGGGGCTAATGAGGAATAAATCCAACAGCAGGTGTGGTAAATGTGCACGTAATGTAACTGCTTAATACTCTTTTCTGTTTGCAAGTATGTTTTTTATGACTCTTGTGTTGAGTCTGTAGAAACGTCCAATTGTAGCATTATCATAAAGCCAATATAAAGGTCATTATAGTGACGGACTCTTCATCCGCTGAAAGAAACGTGTGAATTAAGTCAGTAAGTCAGAATGATTTCAGGGGCAGGCTGTCCTGACATTTCAGTTTCTAATTTCTCACAGAACTCAGGCAGTTAAAGAAAAAAACTTACTCAATAATCTTGAGATCTAAGCACATTGAATTCATTAACTGTAAACACACAAACTGATTTGTTTTAGTAAAGCAGGAACACGGTTCCCTGTAAGCTAATTTCCAAGAAAAAGCCTGAGCTTGCTCATTAAAGCATCAATCAAATCAAAACAAACTAAGAAAAAGTGAGCTAAATCATATTTTTATGCATGTAGGATTCTTTCCACATTCTTGCAGTGATTTATCCATTCATCCAAAGAAAGAAAAAATGAAAAATCAGTCCTGGAGAGCGTCTTTTGAAGAGCAGAAAAGTTAAACCCACTGTGAATGTGTTAAGTGTGGTCTTCCCCTCTTGCACAAAGTCCTGCTCGATATTAGTGATAAACAGAAAATCATCCATGACTTAGTTAAGGGTGAAAGGTTGTTAAGTAAGACTGTGACATTTCATTCTGTTAATGATTCTGGCTCCTCACAGCACAGACTACAGTCTGTTATCTTTCTGTGGAGCACAAGACAGTCTGTGAATGTTATTTACTTAAAACAAAAAAAACAAAAAAAACAAAAAACAGCTGAATATAATAAAAACAGTTGACAGCTCCAGTGTAGTAAAACAGTGCTTTTAAATCATTCTGAGTTTGATATGCATGATGTAAAAATAGTTATTATTAAACAGAAAAGGTTTGAGAGCGAATGAGGAGAATAGAGGGTGTGAGGGGAGAGAAAGGAAGTACAGGGAGGTCCAAGACACTAAAAGTGCACAGAGGAGGAAGTGAATTATGAATCGTCTTCTACAGACAAAATGTTACAGCTGTTATCTGCATACTGGAATCAGCAGACTTGAAACATTTCAGTCCATGTGAGCATAAATACATGTTTGACCTTCAATCAAATGTACACTCAATAAGACTCTTCACATGATATTTGCTACATTCAGAGGTGGAAAACATCGCTGCCATTGTCCTTCACCGGGCTGATAATCGAGGAGAATTATCAAGAAGAACATTCTACAAAGAGACAACATAAAGAGGAGAACTGAAAAGACACGGGCTGTTTTGCTTCTTGAAAGCAAACACAGCTCAGTCCAGATCTGCTCCAGTTTTTCTCAGGACATCAGAAGTGGTAGTAAATTGAAGGGCTCACGTAGAAAAGTTTTTTTAGGCCTTAATTGCCTCAGGCCCGGGTTCAACAACGCAGAGTTTGTTGAGTTTGGGACTACACACATGACTGAAATTAGAAACCAGATCACGGTCTCGGGAGAAAACCAAGAAACTTGTGTTCTACTGTAAAAAGGTTATATAATAGTGCTGCTGCTGCTGCTGCTGGCTACATTTGACAGAAAAGGTGAATTCTTGTTCTGCCTTTAGCTTGTGTTTCCCTCTTTGACAATTAGACTTGGTGTATCCCTGATCTGTGGTTTACAGAGTGTAAGCAAGTGTATTCCCCATTTACCACCTCCTCACTAACCCCTCCTTCAGCTTATTTATGACGGGGTGAATATACAAGACTGACTTGTTTTGCAGATGCACGTCCAATGTGAGTCTGTTTTGACCCACTATGTGAGTGTAACTGCATTGATTGTGTTTTGTGCTCTTCACCTTTCAGAAATCAGGTAACCTACACTCAAAACTGTGCCTGAAAGTGTTGAAGAAATTACTAAGACTTGACTCCATACAATAAGACTCAGTTGACTCAGATGGCTTACGTTGATGAAAGTTTATACATCAGATGAATACTCGTCGAGGAGACATGATTCAACATCACACTTCTGTACTCGCGTCTTGCTCAATCACATCTGCCGAACTTCTCGAAAGGCATCGCATATATCCTAAAAGACATTATCATTATCAGGGTCGTGTCACATTGACCCACCTAGACTAAACTGTTAGGTCAATAACACTGGAGCAGACAATAAGTCTACCAAACATCCTTACAGATATCAGGAAGAACAGTTGACAATCTCTAAGCTGTACTTGGTGTTCTAATAACAACTGAACTCTGTCAGGTCTGACTGACATTACAGAACAGTGAATAAACCTAATGACATCTGTACATTATAATCTAAATAACTCCAGAAATTCCACCACAGAATGCATCTTGTGTAATTGTATTTGTTGCACTAAAGCTGCTGTGGTTACTTTGCTAAAGTGTCGCTCTTTCTTGGCTACTTGTTTAGACCCTGTCGAGAAGAAAAACCCATCAGTGCCTGTGCATAAATAAGCACCACCTCTTTACCCATCCCATTCTCAATCTTAATTCTTTTTTTCTTCTTCTTTTTAAGATGTATTTTGGGGACTTTTTGTGCCTTTAATGGACAGATAGGACAGTGATAGAGTTGGAACTCAGAGAGTGGGGAATGACATGCGGGGAAAGGAGCCACAGGTTGGATCTGAACCCGGGCCGCTCCACTTGGAGGACTACAGCCTCCATAGATGGGGCACATCCACCAGTGCCCCAAACTTAAAAAGAATATTCTACTGAAAACACAAATCACCTGCATGATGAACTCCCGGCGTCGGGGCATCCCTCTTTCAGAAAGCAGCAGGTACTCCGGCTCCTTCTCCTTTTTGGCCTGCTGGATCTGAGCAAGACGGCTGATCGGGTTCATACCTTGACCATAATCTGGTCCAGTCTGGGAGAGAGAAAAAAAAAATGGAATAGACATAATTGTCAAGTCTAATTATCACAAACTGTTATCGTATTAACATGAGTTAAGCATGTGTAACATTGTTGGGATTGTATAAGAGAAGCGGAAATGAGATCAACTCTTCTGCAGAGGAGAGATGCAAAAGATACAGAGACAAGTTTAATGACAAAGGAGGTCAGATGGGAACAATCTTATAGCATAGTTCTGTATAATATGTCTGAATTTATAAGTAGATTAAATGTCCAGTTCTGGCCCGGCTGAGGTACCTTGAGGATGGTCTTGGTTCGTTTCTTATAGTGCGTTTTGGGTTTCTCAACAGCAGGGATGAAGGGCAGCTTCTTTAGGTCCTGCAGGATGGACAGAGCGGCACGCTTCTTGGACAGCTTCTTGCTGTTGCCCTCGCCTTCCGCAGAGAACTCCCCCACAGATACACGAGTCAGGAAGCTTTTCATGTGCGGGGGGCCGCTCTCCTTTAACACCTGGGGGAGGCAGAGGAGAAACAGGTTGGCGAATCGGTGTTTTAAACATGTTTTGTCTTACAATTTGGGTGGAGAACAGACAAAACAAGTTCATAGTACGAAAAGATTTTTTTTTTTTAAATGTCATAAATCTGTTTTTGTCATTCATGATATGTGTGAGGGAGTGTGTGCAAGCAGTGTGCAAGCAGCTACACCAGGTGGTCCAAAACATCTGTTCTGAATGGTCACATTGCTACCCACCCATGTACGCGTGTGACTTATACGGAACACACACACACGCACACACACACGCACACACACACACTAAGTGACGTACAAACACACATATGAAGAGGAACATGTTTCTAGATGACAGTCTCTGGTGTTGAGGGCTCAGTTTCCTTCCTCCAGCCCCTGGTCACCTGGGAGACCTAAAACAAACACCGGCTGGCGTTAGGTCATGCTTCTGCAATCACATCTACTTCCTGTGAAGTCGGAGTACAGTGTGTGTGTGAGTGTGTGCATGTGTGCATGTGTGTGTAGCAGGTGGGGTTCTCCCCAACCTTATTTAAGAAAAAAAAAAAAACACACTGGAGGAAGAATTAGATTTCACACACTTACTGAGTCCAGCAGAACATGTTTCTGCTGAGGTGGATGCATTTTTTTTTTTTTTTGATTCAGAGATCGCCGACATTCTCCCTCGCTCTCCCTCTAGCTGTAGCTGCTGACTGTTACCATTTCTTTCCAATCACTCCCTCCCTCTCCTCCTCCTCCTCCTCCTCCTCCTCCTCGAACTTCATTTGAGCTCAATTTGCGGTGCAGACAGCACAAACTGTAGCAATCAGATGCAATCTAGAAACAGTTCATTTGAACCCAGTGACCGATAAAACTGATAAGTGGAACCTTGAGCATTCCTCGAATGCTTCACACATCAACGCAGACTAATATCAGATCTGGAGGAGAACAAAGGATAATGTGTACAAACCCTTCCATATGGCCAAACTACGAACACAAACTTCTCTTTTGTTGCAATAAACACACTACAAAGATGATGCAAATGATCATTTTTATCTGCAGACACTAAATGCATAAGCAGTTAAAAGTTGCTGTGTGTCAACGTTTTACAAAAAAAGGCTGAAAAAGGAGAATTCTTCCAACTAGAGTAAGTGCAGGACACTCCTGGTAACTAAGCTGACACCGGCCCCGTGTTTGCTGTCAGTGTACCTGTTAGGCTGTCAGCATTCCTTCACAATGACTTTAAAGATGTGTGTTTTCAGGAAGCCTTGGCGCGCTAGCTGTCCAAGCTAACAGCCTCTCACCCCTGCCCAGGGGACCTGCTCTGGTCTAGCTCATCACCAGAAAAGGGAAATGTAACTCGGCAGCTTCTTGCGCATTACAGCATTCAACGGGACTAGATACATCTGAATCTTTTTAAGTCAGTCAATGGGGTTGACGATGATGACACTACTCATCACTGGCAAGCTGAGATTACATCATTTGGGAGAAAAGAGCAATTAACAAAATCTAGATGACCAAGTGTTTTGTGAAAAAATATAACAGCACTCATAGGTCCCTGATGCAGTAGCAGTGAATGACGAGATGTGCATGACAGGAAGCGTCCTCAGCTGTCCTCGATTCTGTGGCTGTATTCACTAAACCAATCACTCACTTAAGTTTTCTTTCTCTCCTCATCCATCACGGCCTCTTCTAAACATGTGAAACTATTTAGTACATGTGGTTGAGCAAGATGGTAGGCTGACCTAGAAACAAACATGTTTGCATCCTGGTAGGTGACCGCAATGTGCCTGGTTTAATTCTAACCACAAACCTCTGTTATCCGTCATTGTTTATTTGGCAGGAAACCAACAGAAACCCCCAAAAAGTTACTGGTACTGGAAGAAGGCTGTGAAAAAAAAAATCTACGACAGATGTGAAATGACTAAATTGACCAATTAAAAGCTTTTATTCAAAGGTCTATTGAGAGGATCTTCGCTGAAACACTTGGAAGTTTTCGTTCTTCACAGGAACAAATGTACGAGCAGACTTGTGAGTGAGTCAGGCTCTTTAAGTTGCCCGCTGTCCTTTTCTGCTTGTCCAAAACACTCAGGGAACTTGCAAAAAAAAAAAGTCAAAGCACAATAATTATCGCACTGATGAAACCCAACTTTGCAGTTAAAGCAAAAAAAAAAACGTGCAGCTACTAACAAGAAGCGTGCCACCAAACTTGGCCTGTATAGATACATGGTACAGTCAACAATGACTGTGAGACAAGAGTGTGTGTCTGTGCACACACGTCACACACTCTTGGCTCGGGATTGAGGCAGACGAGCTGCAGTCAGTCTCCTGGCAGACGACACGCGATCTGCGCCACACCGATGGGATTTCAGCACTTCCATTCATTTACACGCACACACATACATGCAAACAAACAGGCAAACACACCCCACTAGCACCTGATGACAAGGATCAGGTTGTACACAGGAAACACTCTGTAATTCAATGTTGATTTTTTTTTTTTCATGTTTTTTTTTTTCACAATCCCCTTCTCCTCTTGTCTCTTCATCTCTTCTTTTCTCAAACATGGGAGGCCTTCTCTTCGGCTTCTCAGGGAGTCATTAATACCCTGAGCAGTCTGAGGATCTGAGACCTCAGGTACACTGGAAGAGGAGGCTATGGGAGCAGGCTAGGACAATGGTGAGGACTGGTAGAGGGAAGAAAGGCTCTTTTGTGACGACCGGTGGATGGACAAGCCCTCAGGGATGCTGCTTCTTGTAAGATGGGTGGTTCTTGGCCCGGACCCTCTTCTCCTGTGTCCTCCTTGGGAAAGGGAGACTCTGATCCAACACACAAGCTGTGATTTATAGATTGCTTCCCCTTTGATGCTGACATCTGTTTGATATTGCCTGACGAGGGGATTAAAACGAGCCAACCGGCTCTCAGGGTGGCGGCGACCCTCATCGTTGCATCGTTGGGATGGGAAAGCAGACACTCGCTAGCAATGACTCATGGGTAATTTCATGCGGCTTAGAGTGTAGGGATGAAATAATGTGCGATCATGGCTGATGTAAAGGTGCTCAAAGGTGCAAGATGACCATTACGGCTTTGTGTTTGGTGTGTGAATAATGCATAACGTGTTTGATTATTAACGGGGGGCGTTGAGGTGTTCCATTTCTCTTCAGTGCATCAAAGGAAACACAGTACAGGAGATGTGACATGGCAGGGTATGAGGCCAATCTTTGTGTAATGAAGGCCCAAAGTGACACACATAATTCACATTTAGTCTCTAGCTATGGTGTAGTGGCAGTGTATTCAACATGCTGATTGGGAGTGAAATTGTGAGAGTCATCTGTGCACCGTATGAGGGGAGTGAAAGGTATTATCAGGAAAGTAGAGGAAAACAGCCTGGCCATGGAACACTTTATTTTGATAGGGCACAGGAAACGTGGTTCAACTGATATGAAGAGATGAAGAATCATCACCTTTGAGCCGACAGTTTTCGGGTATAAAAAATGAAAAGACAGCACACAACAAAGCAAATAGACTTTTTCTGATACTGATATCCATATACCAGTTGTCAACATCATAATCAGCCTGCCCCAATCAGGCAGAATGCCAGCCAGTTCACTCAGCCGTTATTATTATAAATCAGACCCACAAAAAGTCAACTGGTTCCAGGTATCTTGTCATGATGTATTTTTGGGCATTTTATGCTTTTTAATGGAGTGACAGGAAAGTGGAAAGAGTTGGAAATCAGGGAGAGAGAGAGAGTGGGGAATGACATGCGGGAAAGGAGCCACAGGTGGGATTTGAACCTGGGCCGCCTGCTTGGAGGACTGCAACATCCATAAATGGGGTGCGCGCACCAACCACTGCCCCACTGCGCCACCAACTAGTTCCAGGTATCTTATCATGAAACGTGAAAAGTGAAATGTGAGTTACAGCTAGCGAAATAACAGCAAGCAGTGTTTTCTCTACAAATATCATGTTTATTTTTATTGCACTGGTATCAGAGGGGTGATCGGTATCGGCGAGTACCCTGGTTTAGGTATGGAAATTGGAAGTACGGAGACCAGACGCAACTCCGAGCAAAAGAATATCAGTTGAATGACGACGCCTATTGAGGAGAGAAGTCACTGATTTACTGCTCGTCATCAGACAGTGGTAATGAACAGCCAGTCTCCAGATCAACAGCAAGCAGAAGAGAGAGTGTTTGGAGGAATGTGTCTGCTTTTAAAAAAACGCCGTTGTCAGCTTCCAATGTGGAAGGACAGAAAATGAAAGTGGCGTAATTGCTGACAGTGACAAAGACGTGACGGATGAGTCACATCAATCCAGATTTAGCAGGCTGAAATTATTAATAGAAGTTCCAGGAAGGATAGCCATGTCATGCTCCCATTAGCAAATGCGTTTTTCGAACAAAGGGAAGAGAGGAGGGAGGGTGTGAATGGGAGGATTGAACAGCTTTGCAACATAATTTCTTCAGTGTTATGTAAACTTTTATTTACAAGCAAAGTCATCACGAGAAGAGACTCCCTCCCTTTCCTTCTATCATTATCTCCGTTTTTCCCTCAACACCATCCTTCAAGCCTCAACATGCATCCGCCCTTCACTGTGATTTTTGGTAGGAGAGGTGGAAGGCAAGGGTTTAGGATGGAGGAAGGGAGGGGGCACGCAGAGTAAACTGAGCCTCCCTTGTTTTTGGCACCTTGCAGAGAGCAGTAGAAGAAGAGGGGGCCATCAGGGAGTGAACCTTGGATGAGTCAGCTGAGATGCGCCGAAAGCCAAGGGGAACAGACTCAGCCGGTCATGTAAGGACACACTAGACTAGTCCATGAATTTAGAAAAAGTAGGGTGCAGTGAGTGCAATTGTTAAAAGAGCAGAATTGGTAGTTTAACACACATCAAAGGACATCTTCAGAAAATCGTCATCATGTGGGGGAAAACTGAAGTTAGAAGTGAATAAAGTCAAACTAGAATTCTGTAGACTGTGTTGCACATACATACAGTAGATATTAGGTTATGGGACTATTTGTAGTATAATAATAATAAAGTTTATTTATATAGCGCTTTTCGCAGACAAAGGTCACAAAGTGCTTTACATCAACAACAAAAAAAGCAATAGCATACATACAATGAAAGAAGGAAAAGAAAAAGAAAAAATGAGTACATTATGGACGACACAATAATTGGCACAATAAAACACAGATGAGTAGGTACACTGGGTGGACCTGATTACCCATAGGCCTGTCTAAACATTAACGTTTTGAATTGCTTTTTAAAAGACTCAACAGAGTCAGAAAGACGTAGCAAGATGGGTAGAGAATTCCAGAGGATTGGTGCTATGGACTGAAACGCACGATCCCCACGAGTCTTAAAAATTGATCTGAGTGGACAGAATAACTCTCCTTTTGTAGGATGTGGGTGAATGTAAAACAGCAGAGGCTGACAAGAGGGTTTATATTCAACTAAGTAAATTCCCTTTTACACCATAATGAAATGTAACAACCTTACAGGGCGCTGGGAGCAAAGTGGTTGGTGCACGCACCCCATATAAGGGGGCTATTGTCCTTTAAGCCAGCAGCCCGGGTTCAAATCCAGCCTGTGGCTCCTTTCCCGCATGTCATTCCCCAACGTCTCTGCCTTATTTCTAACTCTATCAACTGTCCTATCTCTAAAAATAAAGGCATGAAAAGACCCAAAAATAAACTTCACATGTAACAAACTTATGTTGGTTATGATGTTCGAGCAAGATGTATGTATGCATTAAATAGGTTGTTGTATATTTTTCTCTTCCTTGTTAGTCTGATCTACTAAGGCGTATGGTAAATTATTATTTCTACTGCCGCCGGGGGTGGTGGGGGTATAATTGTTGTGTATAATTTAAAATAATAAAACAATAAAAAACAATTAAAAAGTTTGAACAAGAACTTTTCAAGTGCAAGGTTCACTTGTCATAATAGGATATAGAGACATTTAGATATCCTATTAGATCGTGTGTGAATATGAAACAGAGGTAGGGTATCAAATTTCCTGAAAACTGTGTTTTTATTTGATTTATGTCCGAGACCGTCCTTTGAGGAATAATATTGGTTGAGTGAATTCAGGCTTACAGAGAATTTATTATTCCTATGAAACACAAGATAATAAAATTTTCTACGAATGGATGAATAACGAGGGATTTTTTTGCCTTATCAGCTGAGTCACCACCACAGGCAACCAGACCACGTCACATGACCCCATAGCAGTTTTCCCGCAGCAGCCCAGACACACTTTAAACTTCACAACGTCAGAATTTCCCACATGAGGTGATCCTCAGTCCAACATTTCCCGTGCACGGATTGTTTAAAACTTTCTTTCCGATAAGTGACCGCACTGAGGGACAAATCAGGCAGAGCTGAGTATAAACATGTCCAGGCTTTGTTCACATTGTATTAATACAAGAAGATTAAGTATTATCAGTGTGACTCCTTCGCCTTCTAATTAGTGGTTGAGTTTTTGTAACACTTACCGTATTATGACGCTACAAAGAAAAACCTCATATTACATCACAAGTCCTTTTCTGCTTGCACTTATCTTCATTAACTCTTCATCATTTACAGGAGAACAGGAGTTAGAATTCCCAGTAAGCCATGTCTCACCTCAAAGTTGACTGATAAATTCCTCTTTAGGGCGATTTCGTACACCAGGCTTATCTCTGATTTGCTGGCATCAGTGCCGTCCTCGCTCTCCTCCTTTTCCTCTGGGCTCTGAAACGAGGACAAAATCGCAGGTTATAAAAAAAAAAAACCTGAAAGTGGACATGATGTTAAAATTCTTATTATTCATGACTGCTCATTGAACTGCAACTAAAACTAAAAACTAAAAAACTCAAGTGTGACCTTCACCTGCAAAGCTTTGGTCATTTTGTAGCAGGTGAGTGTTTGTGTTATGATTTGGTCTTATTTAGTTTTGTATTTCAGAGTTAAGGTTTCCATGTTTTAATTTCTCCTGTCCATCCTAGTGTTGCTTGTTTCCCTAGTGTGTTTGTATATTAATGTTTCCTAGTGTTTTTTTAAAGGCTTTTTGTGCCTTTATCAGAGAGCCTTATCTTCTGCCTTTTTGTTTTGCTTAATAAACATTTTTGGTTTTCTGCAATTGGGTCCACCTCCTATGTTTTTCCAACACCGTGGCAGTTTGATACATCATGTTGTTTTTAGATGAGCCTGACTAGCACTCAGATAAGAAGCCAGAGGAGGAAAAACACTCTGATTTAATATCCATCACTTGTTTGGGATCTATAATTAGATCACATATAAAAGTTGACACAGTATAACCTACTTAAAGTTATCAATTTAAATTTTGTCTGGCTTCATTAGAAGTGCTGACTCAACTTGCATCCTCACAGCAGCTCTTATGGGCTAAAGAAAACAGCAACAACAAATCACAGAAGAGAGGTGCAGATAAACACACAGTCATACTGTACAGAAGACAAAGCTGTTGCTTTATGTGCAGCTATGCTTGTTATTCAAGCAAAACTGATATAATGTCTCTCTCGCATTGTTCTAATCTGAATGAATAACTGGTCAAACCTTGATATAACTAAAGACATCACAAGAGACATTTTATGTAAAGGTTTTTACTGAAATATGAAAAGATCTTCTATTTTGTCTTTCCATCTTTCAAATAAAAAACCCCAACTGTGACCCTTCACATATCAAAATCAGAATGAACCACCTACAGGGTGGATGTGAGCCATGCTGCTGCAATGAGAAGCCAGTCTGTTTTTTGATACGATCTTTATCTGCTACAGGATTAAGATTTATTTCAGGACATGACTGGTGGTCCTCGGCCTGAAAAGAAAGTTCTCTACACGGTGTGGTCCGATCTAACACAAGAATTTCAGGATCAAAACTCTTTGTTCTCTTTGTGATATCTGTTCTCTGTGATCATTATTGGGATGTAACATGTTTCTTATTGATTGATAGGACTTTATTGTCTTGCATCACATCGGCTCCATTTACAACATAACAAAGAAAGACAAGATACAAAGATGGAACGTTTTGACACAACGTTCAAACACCAGACAAATATTCAGAGGGGATCTGGGATTCAGCGCCGTATTCTGTTTTAGGATTGACTGGTGTACTAAAAAGTTCTTGAGTGTGACCTTATTAAAACGGGGACCCCATACCTCAGGTTTGATGATAACATTTCAAATTCACTGTTCAGGTGTGGTTAGGGTCAGAGACAATTCTGTAAACCAGCCTTTAACAGGTTTTTATAGCAGGCTGATGCCTAGAGTCTCTGAAGTGGTTGGCCTACAATTACTATTATAAATGTATTTATTAGGCCTGAATGATGTTATTATTGTTATATTAAAGAATGCATATTATCCACAACAGTTTGTTTTTTAAACAATACTTGTGTTTGAAACATTTCCCTCCAGAAGCCAAACAGCTGTTTTATAAACCACTAAATTCGCACCAATCAATCTTTGAGCAGCTGATAGTTAGCTTTGTCATCATTTGACTGCATCAACAGGTTTTTGAAGCATGGCTGTTATACCTGGGTGTCCCTCAAACAGGTCAAGTGTGCACATACTAAGAGAGATATGATTTCTCCTTTAAATTCTATCATTTTAAAATGTATTGGGATAAATTCAGACTTTGGCTGTGTGTTCATTGTAACAGCTCTAGTTGCTATAACAACGGCATTGTGATTTATTGTGCAGCACTAAAAAAATAAATTAAAAAAGGCTCAGTTTTGTGTTTTAATTCGGCATGAAGCACAAGTATTGTATCAAAAATTAATTAAAAAAAATAATAATTAGTGTAAGTGGTAAATCAACAGCATGTTTGTGGGATAACTGTGTGTTTTTATTCCATACCTCCAAAACAATTTGAGATTAAAAATGGAGGAACACTGATTTAAGGTTGCTCTAAACTTAATGGATTGAACTCAGTTTGATTTTTCTGTTGATTCTTAAGTCAGTTGTGTAAATCAGCCAGACTGAATGTATCAAATGATTTTTAGTAGATGATGTTATAATGCTTTCTAGTTCACTCTGAATCTCCCATCCAGTAAAGAAACCTAGATAATGCCACTTGGATCCTTTCATCAGCTCCACACCAAAGGGCTTTTTGCTGCCAACAGTCTATGGGAATGCAGAGATGTGTCTCTCGATCTTTATCTTCCCGTGTCCAGCTCTTTGTTTGATTGGCTCTGAATGGCTGCTGTCTTTCCCTTTGGGCTTCTTCTTCCCTTCTCCCGCTTCATTGTGTGATCTGATCTGACCCATGATTCATACAGACACATCTCTTGGATATCACAGGAAACACTGTCACGTGGTAGATGGACCTGATGCACCAGGGGGAGAAGACTTCCCATTGATGAGCGCCCTTGTGTGTATGTGTGTACTGTACATTTTCAGCTTTATGAAATGGATGTATTGAGGTATGAGAAAAAACCAGAGTGAATCACTCCACATAGCCTTGTACACATTTAAAGGGATACTTCATACATTTGCATTAAGCTTTGTATCATTAGAAACCTGGTAGTATTTTTAAATGGTCGTTCATCCCGCCCTCATTTTCCCCTGAGATGGGAAATCTTTGTATTTCTAAGTGTGAAAAGGAGCTTCCAGTGATGCAAAAATCGTTATTTTTGCATCACTGGAAGCTGTTGTGGTTAGCGGGGTGAAACTACAACTCTAGTTCCTTATATTTTCGACCACTGAAGCTACAGACCTATCACAGATCAGTGGGTGGGAACTCACTCCTAGAATCGAAACTTAACGTCCACCATATTGCTTGGAAGCTATGCTAACAGGCTCTATGGAGAAAGCTGATAATGGCGAGAAAATATAAATATAGCGGCGAGAAGGCTGCTGCCGACAGGCCGGCCTTGTGTTTTGGCAGCTGCGGCCGCTGGCTGCCAGGGCCACCACTGGTCGCTGGCCGCTGGCCGTCGCTGCCAGCTCAGCAGCCGAGACATAAGGCCTGCCTGTCGTCGCCGGTGAGGACCAGTAGCCCATGCCGGCTCGAGCTGGGGCAGACTGATAGTGTCGGTGCGCTCACTGTTTGCCTATGGACACAGACATAGAGTCTGTTTTCTGCCAGTAATTTCCAAGATACCAATTCAATTCTGGAAGAAATCTCAGAATCAGTTGAGAAAACGGCCTTACGTGTAAATGTTTTCATTACTATATTTCTACTGCTATATTGTATATTTTGGAGAAATTGTAACAATCGAATTTCCCTCTGGGATTAATAAAGTATTTCTGATTCTGAAATAGAGGACCTTAGTGGGAGTGGCCTGCGGTGCTGTGCATTCTGGGATTTGGTGTCTTTCATCCACATGAGCCAAAAAGACACTTTCTGCCTTTTCTCGGCCAAGAAGGCACCAACTTCAAAATGTATTTCACATTATGACCTAATTTTAAAACAGATTCATGTTTCAACAGGTGAAGTATCCCTTTAAGTGTATTCATTGTATGTGTGGTCAGACCTTGTGACCCCCCCACACTTCTCTACTTAATAAAGCGTCTTTTTAGAGAGTACTTTGGAAAAGTACAAGTGAGAGAAGAAATCATATAGTGTTCTGAGACACTAACTCTCGCCCTGAAGGATCCGTTTGAATGAACAGTGACGGTGGGCGTACAGAGAGCCTCACATTCACATCTATGCCCATGAGCGTGGCTAAATGCTTCTACATCAAAAGGATGTGAGAGAAGGATCTCCCAATGGACCGAACAATACAGTCCTTTGAAAAGTAACTGTTTATTATTGAGGCAATAATTTCACAGATCTTAATATATCTTCTTCCCCTCAAATGAACCACTGAAATGTTGTCCTAGAAACTTCACTTTGCATATTTTCCCTCAAAAACATCAAGTCAACCATTCAGGGATGAACTGTTTTCACATCAGATATTATTGAAGTCGGACTGATAGAGGAGATTTTTTTTTAAACTGATACAAACAAAATGAAAATATTCTATTTGGAACAGTAACAATAACTAAAAGACATTTTCAGTCATTCCTTAGTATGGCAACATCTCTTGCTTTTCTCCTTTTTTCCCTCTTGTTTAACAACATTTCATATCTCATCAAAAAAGTCAAATGTTCTGCATGTTTTGGTGTTTTTTTTTAGCCTGTTTTCAATTTCTTCTGGGTGTGGTTTCCACATAACCAACGTGCAGCTTTCTCCTATGATCTTACACATAGTTTTACATTGTCTACATGTGCCTCATTTCTATTTTTGAATAATACATTTGCTCTTCAGGGAGGCTAATTTAATCGGTGCAGATATTATAGTACATATAACAATTTTTTGAGCTGGGCTGGAAAATACTTCTATTTTTTTTTTTGCATTGATTTGACGATGAAAAGGAGCTACAAAAGGCAGATTTTTAAAAAACTTATTAAAGAAAAATATAATTTCTAAACATATTCAACCGATGCTAATGTGAACAAACGTCTTCTTGAGTGATGTCATGCTACATGGATTTGAGACAGTCCTGAGAGTATTCTAAACTACGAAATTGGAGCACTCTCTGCTCGACAAAATACGTGATGACACAATAATTCATTACCAAGAGTTTTTTTTTTTTCTTCACAAACACATGAAAATAAGTCATGTTGGCTAATTTGATAATATACTGTATGTATGCAGAACACAACTATTATTGGCAAATATCGACAAACAGATACATCAGTCAGAGACCAGATATGATCGTTTATAGACGATCAGTAACACACAGGGATTTACAAATTAGTCAACAATTACAACATTCTAAATTTGTATGAAGCCTGAAGCCATTCTTAGTTGTTTTTTGTGTTTCCTAGGGTTACATGTTGTTGCTCTACCTTTGTATAAACACAACACATTTAGAGCACCACTGATGTTTATCTGTGGTCTTCCTTAAATCAAAGGTTTGACAGGTCGTGGTTAAAAAAAGGAACACTACTAGCCCCAGGGTGTCCACACACAAACGCGTGGAAGGGGCACAAAACACACACACACACACACACACACACACACACACACACACACGTTGAGACAGCATGACAGACATACACTGCAGACACAATGTGCCTCAATTTGTAAAGCAAGACTCAGAAGCAGCAGCAAACAAAGAGCACATTTATGCAGGCTGACGCCACAAGACAGCGAGTCGGGCAAAGTGAGAAGAGCCAAAGCGTTTTGAATAACCATCAGCGATGCCAGGCGCTGAGGATATGGGGTAATTTGATTTCCGGTGGGAGATGATAACAACAGTTAACAGCCATGCCTGAGGGGAAACTTTGAAAAGGTACAGTGACATTGGGAGGAGGCAGAAAGAAGAAAAGACAGAGTAAAGAGAAACTTGGAAGAGAAAAAAAGCACTCGAGCCAGGTGTCAACTAAACTATGGAGACAGCATGGCTTTAATGATACATTAGAGTAATAAGAGCTGAGTGGATTAGGATTAAATCTGATGAAAGCTGGTTACGCACTCATTTTAGCATCTGCAAAAAAACATGTGCTAAAACCCTTTAAATAGAGTCTCTGTGGGGAGGCACAAACCCCTTTGACTTTTCATTAAAGGAAGAGTTTTAAAGCACATGGGGGTCAGATAGATGGCCCGTCATTTGATGAGAAATCAGCCACAAGGTGACTAAAGTGCAGAAGGCAGGAGGTAGTGATGGTTACGGAATGAATGAAGAATGACCTTTTATGAAAAGAATGATTGACAGAACATCAGATTGGATGGAAACAGCTTTATAAGGCTGGACTGTGTGCAGACAACATAACTCATTACTTTCCTTTAAATGTTTTCAATGAAGTTTCAACATATGAGCTAAATTGTACAACTCACAATAAATAAATTACTTAATAGACGGTAAATTAAACTGCCCGACAATGCTTAACCATGACAAATTATAGTCAAGCAATATGTCACAAATAATGTATCTAAAAATCAGAAAAAATAAACATGACATAACATGAGCAATATGAGTGGACAGAGCTTGATTTATCGTATGACTCTCAAGTCTCACATGGTTCAAATGAAGCACAGTAGTATAATTCAAGTCAGTCCCACAAACATCCACCTGTGTTACTTAATGCACACTTGTATTAAAACTTGTATCAACAATGGAAAATGTATAATGTCGGTATTGATACACTAAAAATGATCTCCTCTAAAGATGTACTTTTGTGCCTTTATTGTAGAGATAGGACAGTGGATAGAGCTGGAAATCAGGACGAGAGAGAGAAAGAGAGAGAGGGGGAATCACATGCGAGAAAGGAGCCACAGGTTGGATTCAAACCCGGGCCGTCCGCTTGGAGGAATATAGCCTCCGTACATGGGGCGCATGCACTAACCACTACGCTACCCACGCCCTAATAATCTTCTTTTTAAAGGAGAATTTTTATCAAAATGACATCTGTATAAAGACATTCCTTAATCTTCTTTTAAAGCAATGAAACAACATATTTGCAACAGGTCTTGTAAGATTTATAACAATATTGATGTGAATAGTGAATAATTATAGTCGTGTCCTGACTAGTAAAATATATAGCCATTACCGTTGGGTATGATTAGTCTAAAATGGACAGTCACACAGAAGTCCTTTTCAGCAAACATTGACAGAAATATATTAAAAGGTGTTGGGAAGGATTCCGTTAGTGGTGTAAGTCGATAAGCGATCGTTGGCGTTTATGTGATTCTTTGTTTACCTGTGGGGGGCGTTCTGGGATGGGTTCGTTGCGCAGGGCTTGCAGGGCCTTCATGGCTGCGTTGTGTCTGGCTGCTTGGCGGGTGCGCCCATCGCCTATAAACTCATGACTCCCCACAGACAGCTGCACATAGAAGATCTTAGGAACAGGATAATGGTACCTAGGAAAGAACAGGATGAAGACATGCATTCATTTATGAAGATGTGGATTCTATATCTTAATTTTTTATTCTATAAACTAGATAAATCATTTACAACAAAAGGCAAGGAAGAGTCTCAGCCTTTATGAGCCAAGTTATCAATTCAAACCGTTTACACCGCTCCAAGTTTAAGGCCCACCCCTTCATCAGGGTCAATTACTACATAATAGCCTGTTGGCCAACCACTTGACAAATGTCTCACTATTGAATCTAATCTTAGTGTTGCTTAACAAGGCCCAGGGAAATATATATCCTCTCCTCTTTCTTCTGGCCCCGAACATAGATTTTCCCCTTTTCTTTGGGTCATGACAGAGCGGGACTGAGCCATCAGTGAGCAGATTTAGAGGTCTGTGAGTCCGCGTGTGTCATACCCCCTCCTGGGTTGGGGGGAGAAGGGCTGAGAATGTCTGCCAGATCGACGACAGGGAAAGAGAAATAGTGGGAAAGCTAACAAGAGGAGAGAGGAATCCAAACTTTTTAATATCCGTCTCCATGCCCTCCTCCTTTTTTTTTTTTCCCAGCTAGTATTCGCTTACACACACAAGGACGCACAGCCAACATATTTTATAGAAACAAATGGATAGCAGCAGTTTCGATTTATGGAACTGTGTCCGATGCCAAAATGTATTCAATAATTTAATGGCGTTTATTACACTACATGCTGGAGAATATTAAAACCAGCCCGACAGAGATGCAGATATGTATTCATTTTCAGCTATACCAAAACATCCTACTTGGCACTGCAGCTGCTCAGAGATGTGAGATTTAATACTAAATTGGAATGTGGGGAACCCAAGAAGCTTTAAAATCCAAGAAGCTCAAGGAAAATTGGAGTGCACTGGAAACTCTTTATTTCAACAAAAGCACATGAACAATGAACAATGTTTGACATTTTACAATTTTGCAAAAAATCAAGTATATCCTCTGTAAATGTCTCTGAGTCATGACTGTCTACAATGACAGAGAAGGGTGAGTCTGGCCAGCTGTAATGTTGTCAGAGCTGTGTTTACATCATGTTTACATGAACGGGACGGCGTATAAAGCTGTGTTAGTCAGGGACTAGAGAAAAGAAGAATAACGTAGCCACCAACTATCTATACTATATACTATATAACATAGCTATGAGTTAACCAAAGTGTGCTAACATTAGTCTGCTAACACAACAATGCAGACCACAGGCAATTGCAGCTCGAGCAAAAGACAATTTTGTAACAGTGCTTAATTATGGTGCGTTATAACTGATAAGTCCTTTGTGCGACTGCGAGGGGAGGGGGGTTTGGAGATGTGATGCTGGAGGAGAGCGGACGCTTCAGTATGGTGGAGGTGTCTACAAACAGCATTTTGTTTTGGTTTAATGCTGGTGCTCAAGGGCGACATCTACTGGATCAAAAAGTCACACATTCTTCATTTAAAAGGCTTAATATGCAATTTTTCACACTTAAATGTAATAGAAATCAAGTATATCCTCTGAAAATAACTAGTGAGTCATGACTGTCTACAATGGGTGTAACACCCGAGTCCCACTGTCTGTGATGCTTTCCGAATTTTCCGAGTCCTATCTTCAGTTTGTTTACATCGCCCGGACGGCCGGCCGGCTCATCCCCTCGCGTATAAAAGTTGTTTAATTGAGGGACTAGAGAAAAGAAGAATAACATACTGTACTCACTGCTTAATTGGAAATTGAATGGCGATCTAGGACGACATGGATGGAACGCTTTAATGATCGACCCTCCAACAGAGTGACGACCACCGCTCACATTAACTATGAGTCCAAAAATAGGCTTGTGCATTACGTAACATTTCAATAGCTGCATCATCACTGTAAAGCCCATTTCTTATGGGCATAAGAGGGTGGTGTTAATAACGTTTCTATCACGAGTCCCCTGCAAAACTGGTGGGATCTTCATGCATGTTATGATTGTTCAGTTCTTTTGTTTATACTGTGAAGACATGTACCATTGATATAAAGGCAAAAACTGTCATCAATGTGTAGGACTCTGTTGCTTCATCTGCCATCTTGGGTGTGTTGTAAACATTATGGACTTCTTATTTTTTATTCCTGCCTCCTGAGGGCAACTCAGGAACATGTCAGGGGAAGGTTGCCCTGAAGCTTTTCAGAAGTAGTCATAAGAACGTGTGTGAAAGGGGTTCATGACATGTCTTTAAATAAGGATTGTGAGCTTCACTGGGGGTAATGGCGACTTGTTTTGTCAATGTACCAAAAGTACCTTAGATTCAATATGACTTTGGTCTGATTTTGTTAGCTTTAGGCATCATTCCTATTGGCAAAAATAACACAGAGATCACCAATAGTATGTCTTGAATCTGGACAGCAGCCGAAGATCTTTGCTCGAATGGGAAAAGAAACACGAGCAGTCAGACTCTCATCCAAATTGAAAGCATGGAAACAAAGGCATTGTTAAAACTGTGATCCAATCTAACGGCTGTACACATCCATCACAATTTAGAAAACAATTCTGGTGATTTTGGGATTTAATTCCAAAGAAATTGAAAGATAATACACTTTTTTTTTTTGGATTGTCGACAAGCTGTCTGACGGACTTGATGCTTGATCTAGCCTCATGAATCTCTGAAGAGCAATGACGCCATGTTCCTGGATCTTAACAGTTACTTTAGTTAGAGTACAGTGTTATCACAGAATATAGAAACTATGGCCAAGAGCACAAAAAAGGGTTAGTTAAATAAATTGTAATTAACTTGGAATAACCTGACAACTGACAAAGTTCCACTTAAAGCTAGTGTAACAAACGTTCAGTTTGTCAAGTCTTGGTGAACCCCAGAGACAATCTCTTATCTTTTTGCTATGCCTGTCCTGTACATGTGTTAATGGTGTTTTCTGTAGGAATATCTTCATCCTGCTGCCCTTTGAACAAACATATCACTCACTGAGATCTTTGAAGTGGATAACACAAGCTCAGTCTTTTTCTGTGCTGTTAATCACTTAGTCCCAAGAAAAATCTAGTGGCAGCAGTGAAAAGGAATAACACTCTATGAAGCAAGAGAACATTTACTCCCTTGTTTTGTTACATTTTTTTGAGGTAATAAAGAGGCACCAGAATACATTTCTCTCTGTTAAATAATCAGCTGAGAATTCCTCAAAGGAGCTTTAAGCTAAATGTATGAAACGTTTCACATTTCCAACACCAGGACACTAGCAATGATGCCTCCCTACTTACAGTAAGTCTTTCTACGTAACTCTTCAGAAATCATCTGTCATCTATAAACATCTCGTGTCTTCGCTCTGTCTCTTAACCAACAGGCCCAACAATGAGTCAGCGTTTTACTCCCAAGGAATTCCAGCAGGTCCTTCTCCAGCCCACAGCCCTACTCTCATCTGTCTGCTCTCAGCCTTCCCTTGGTTGGGGCCGGCCTGGCCCTCGCACGTCAAGTGTGGCCCCAGGGTCTCAGAGGACATGCCAAGTGCAACATGGGCTCTGGCCAACAGTACAGAGCTGAGATTGGAGCAGCTGGGGCTGCAGAGCTGAGTACAGGTGCAGAAAGGAGGAGAGAGAGGGATGAGAAAGAAAGAGAGAGGCTGAAGGGGGGAGAAAAGAGAGAGAAAGGGAGAAGTAAAGTAACAGAGAACGAGAAAGAGAAAGACATGGAAGGAGGCCTGTGGGAGACCCTGCTTCACAACGTGGGAAAGTAGTGGCTTACACACAAGCAAGGCAGCCAAGAGCGCAGGCGAGCGCATGCACACACATCAAAATCTAGCAGACAAAAAAAAAGAGTGAGCATAAAAATCACGTCAGCGCTCTGTGGTTAGTACAAAAATCAGCACATGCTGGCTGGATCTGCCTGTTCTGTGTTATCAATTATTATTTGTGTTATTATTATTACTGCAGAGAGGGAATTGGACCAGGACACCTGTAGGGAGGGTGTGAAGAAAAAATAAGGGAAAAAACACCACTGTGTCTGGTGATGACGTGTGTGTGTGTGTGTGTGTGTGTGTGTGTGTGTGTGTGTGTGCGTGTGTGTGTGTGTGTGTGTGTGTGTGTGGGGGATGAGCAACTGTGCGAGAGAAAGAAAAACTAACTGATGCCACAACTCAATCAAATGATAAGTCATCAGTGTTCAGCAGTGAGTAATGAATTTGACTTTGAGGTCAGAAGCTTCCCTGCAGCTTTCTTTAATGTGGGATACGTTAGTTAAAGTTTTCTATTTCATCTTAATCGTTCAAAGACGCATTCGCGGACACACACAGAGGCAGACACTGGCAGAAAACGCTGCCGCTTTTAAGCCCACACACAGTCCTAATGGGAATTCGGAGACATGGTATTGCAATTAATACAATAAATGGCAGGTTGACATTCAGGCCGGAAACTATTTTTCTCCTTCGGGATGGAAAATGATTTTTTAAGAGGGAATAAATGCTCATTCTCTCTTACTTAATGTTACACTTGCTCCTAAAGTAAACAGGATACCACTGTCTTTTAGATCTGCACAATATGTGAAAAATGTGTCACAACATCATTCTATATTGTGATAACAATGAATAAAAATTAATGAATGCATAAATTCAATTTCTACGTCTATCTGATGTTAACTGTGTTTTACACAATACCTGTGTTTGCAACACGTTTCTACTGATTAAGAAATAAATGCGAAAGAGTTTTACCAACACTGAACTGGCACCCATTAATGGAAGGTAGCTGAAAGCTGCCTTGACTGCTTCAATATATGTTGTTATATGATGACTAAAAACTCAGGTCAGACACAGAAAAGTACAACAGCCTAGAACCACAGAGACTATCACTGTCAGACAGGAAGGGCCCCCCCCTTATAAAACAAGAAAGCAACAGATAATGATACAAGAACTTGTATATTTATGTGAAAGTAAACTCAAAAATGGAGCCAGTAATGTAATACATAACTTTGTTGACCACTTGTGGATGTAAGAGTAAAGGGAGCAGTGAACCAGCAAAACTCTACTGGCCACC